ACAAAATTAATCAGAGGGCTGGAACACCTACCCGTACGTGGACAGGATGAGAGAGTTGGGGTTGTTTTGTGTGGAGAAGTGAAGGTTCTGGGGAGACCTAATAGCAGCCTGCCAGTACCTGAAGGGGGCCTACAGGAGAGATGGGGAGACACTCTTGATCAGGGAGTGTAGTGAGAGGACAAGGGGTAATGGGTATAAGCTGAAAGAGGGTAGATTTAGACTGGACATTAGGAAGAAATTTTTCACTGTGAGGGTGGTGAGGCACTGGAACAGGTTGCCCAGAGAAGCTGTGGATGCCCCATCTCTGGAGGGGTTCAAGGCCAGGCTGGGTGAGGCTTTGAGCAACCTGGGCTAGTAGAAGGTGTCCCTGCCCATGGCAGGGGGAACTTGATGATCTTTAAGGTCCTTTCCAACCCAAACCATTCTATGATTCTATGATTCAATTATATTAGGAGGGAATTAAATAAATAAATAGTGAACTAAACCTAGAAAAGGCTAGAAGCAAGGGAGAGGTAATCAATATGAAAAGAAATGAAAAATTAATATTTTCCATTCCCTTTTAATTTTCTTTGAGATTATGAAGCCTTTATGGCAGCATCTGTAAACAATTTTGTGTTTGTGCAGTGTGTTAGAAGGTGAATTGTACTTTATTTCCTTGAGTATTGGCCAGAGTGCTCAATTTTCAGCCTCCGAAGTACTACAGGGAATTCCACGTTGCATGTCCCACATGCTTTACATGCTTATCTTTTAAAAAAAGTGATATTGGCAGTTAAATTCCTAACTGTCTTTACTAGGAACTTGCTTAATAATTAGTGTTATCTATCTTGGCAACATTTCATCTGAGCTTTTTCTTTGTCAGCCATATTTAAAAACCTGTTTCCCTCCCCCAGCAGAACTAGAGAATCTGTTAAAACTGTTTTGTCCAGTGCTCTTGGATACAAATTCTGCTCCTGTGCCATTGATAATAAGAAGAAAATTGAAGACCCTCTTCAAATACCAAAAAAAATATGTTCAAGTGTATGATTTAAAGAATATTCGCTCTAGATACAGACTTAACATTTGATTTTACTTCTGAAGTTATAAAATTAAGGACTGGATTGATGTTAACTAGTAATTTTAGAAGAAAAAAAGGGACACGCATTTGTTTTCTGTGCTTTTTTTTTCTTTTGGAGTACAAATGATTTCTCTGTTAATTTCTTTGAGCTGTGTTAAATTGGACATTGAGACACAACTGGAAAAAGTAACTGAAAAAAAAATCAGTGGGTGTGCATTTCTGTCCCTGACAACCCCGTGGTAGCAGTACAACTAATTTTTGTCTCTGTGGCAAACTGTTCTGGAGAGCACTGTCTATATATATGCAAAAATGCCTCTGCCATGCTGTCAGAGGGATTGACACCACTTATGTCTGCAGTACAAGTTTGTCAAACATTCTAAAGAACAGCAAGTATGAAAAATTAGTTGACAAAACCCTTAATGTCTTCCAGAATTATAAAAACCTTGAAACGCTAGCAGTGTATGCACAAAAATCATGGTAGGGACTGAGACAAAGGAGAGCATTTGTAGTTGACGAAGATGTTCTGTCTTCAAGTATTATTGCTGAAGGCCTTCTAGGCATAATAAAACCTATTCCCCTCTATTTGTTAACATTATTTTCTGAAAGAAAACTGGGAGTTTTTTTGGGGAAAAGGTCTGTCTGCAACATCCTCTAAGTCTGTTTTAGATGTTAAATGTGACTTCTCAATTATCTTGCAGAAGATCTGTGTTCTGCCTTTTCATGGGTTCTTCTCTGGTTTGTCCCTATCAATACTGATTTCTGCTTTTTCCTTCAAAGTGTAGTAATTACTAATAATGATTTTAAATGGTGTTGCCATGTGATGGCTTACTTACTACTCAGTTAGGGACTCTGGAGAGCTTATTCCCATGGGGTGCTTACATGCTCTTAGAGGCATCCTGATTAAGATGATTGTCCCCATCAGTGAGGGCTTTCTTTAATAATTAAAAGGTCTTGAAATACATGTCAATTTTTTTCTAAATGTGTAGAAAGGCTGAAGAGAGGATAATGGTAGAAGAGTTTAGCTAAACACAGAGAAAAAAATTAGTTAAATTAGATCTTACCCTTAAAATTTCTCCTTTAGGCAAAGTTAAAAGTATCTTTGTCATTATTAGTTAGAAAGATAGGTTTGATGTTTTGTAAAAGATCTTTGAACCTATTTGGTAGTGGCCTGGGTTGCTCCTGTTTTCATTTCAGCTAAGGCAGTGCTGCTTTTTTTCCTTTCTACTTTTTATCCTGAAGCTGGAAAAGGGAGAAGAAAACTCTCATATGCTTTTAAGACTATTTAGGTATTGTTATTTTCAGAAAGCTCGTTCTCTGGACATTTGAGGGCCCTGGCTATCAGCGCAATTAAATCAAGTGCATGGAGCATGAAAAAAGTAGCTAACTTTCCTTACCCAGTTGTGATCTAGACTCCTTTTCTCTTTGCAGCTTTTAGAGACAGAATGAAGTGTAATGTGAATATGTTACTCAGAGTTGCAAATAGCTACTTCTAGCATTTATCTAGACAAACATTAACATGTTGGCCATCTTTTGCCTGGCCTTCAGTGGCTAAATTTTGAAAGATCTCTGTTCTTTCAGACTTTTTTTCCTAAGGCTATGTGCAAGAATTTGTTTAATTTTTTAAACTTCAGTTATTACTAGTTGTGTAGACAAATTATGGCAACTTCTTATAAATGAACTGCTGTGTGAAAGATACAAGCTGAAACTGTAATTAATGTGAATCAAAAGAAATCTGCTTGTTGGAACTCTACTATGCTGTTGGGACTTGTTTTATATGTGAATCAGGTCTTGCTCATGATGTGGAGTTTGCTCTTACCCAGGTGAAAGCCATTTTCTTTGTTTTGGTGGAGGTGAACTGTTGAAGTCAAGAAGGATCAGAGCAAGAATTGCAAATGGCATACATTACTTTTTACAGTTATTTGTGCCTTCCTGAGCAGTCACAACTCTAGCTAAATAACAGAAAACAAATGCTACAAGTGGAAAATGCTACAGGTGGAAATGCTTTTTTTTTTTTTTTTTTTTTTTTTTGGTATTAACAGTAAAGAGCGATCTAGCATGCAGGACCTCCTCTGTTCTGGGACATGAAACAGCTGTACAATTTTGTAAAAAGACTGTCGATGTTGACCCTTGTATCTTGATTAAATAAGGGAAGAGGAAATTATAAGGATGTTAGGATTTTATGTAAGCATTTGAGCATCTTTCCAGAATCGGGCTTTTTACTCACCTTCTGTAGCATTGTTGAGTAAAACAGATAGTTAAGGCATGAATCTTCGTAGTCTTTTGACTTCAGTCACCTAACTTAATTCTATTAGTAGACAAATCAGACTTCTTTTGTTTTTTATTAACAGAAAATACTAATCTGTTCCTACTGCTGTCTAGAAGCCTATAGTTTTACAGAGTTCTTGAAATTATGGACAATATCTATTTGAAAATCTTTTTCATTCAGATAGCTATAAAGAACTAAGCATACACAGGCAAATAAATACCCTGGGTGTGGCAATACATTTTGTGTTTGCTTTTCATTATGCTAAAAGGAAGGGGTTTTTTTCCTTTTATGTATGAGGTGTGTTTTAAAAAAACCAACCACAAACTGCTGCTTTATACTGTTGTGTTGTAAATGGAATATGCTGGGTATTTTTAAATTGCAAGGACTAATCAAAATTGGGGGAACTATATTTTTACAGACACTTTACCTATGAAAAGACTATACATTTTTTTGGTATTGAAGACTTTTCCTGCATTCTCCTATGTGCTGATCAAATCTGCAGTAGGTGTCACAAGAGCTGAGTTGCGTTTTCTTATGAAAATTTTTGAAAAATAAGTGTGATGTAGAAATTGGAGAAAGCAACTAGAGGATGGAGAATGCATGCTGGGAAAGGAGGGAAACAATACTAGAGCAATAACCCAATTAGACAAATGGAGGTATAGGAATGTTGCAGGTGGTGTATTTTTATTATTTTTTGTGTTAGAGTTTCGTTATTTTGTGTTCTTCACCTTTTTGTGCTCACAGACTAAAATTCTAGGTATTTTGTTACTTTAGTCGGAGTGAGAGTATCTTTGGACCGTACTATGGAGAGTCTGTGATGATGGTTCACAGGTGGCTCCTTAATGCAAGGACAGAATTGTAATTTGTAACACAATCCTGATCAGAGTCTTGCTTCTGTGGTGACTGTAAGTGCCTTGATGTTGCTTCATATAGCTTTCCAGTTTTTTTTGGAATCTGATAAGGAGCAGTCGTCAAATGCAGGAACTGGCCTCACTGAGTGTCAGGCTTACATGCAGAACTGAAAAGTAAGACCCAATTTGCCAGGAAAGGGTTTTCTGAGAAATACCAGTAGAGACTACAAAGCTCTATTTGGGCTAGATTTGTGTTTGCCATGTTATCTTTACTACTGAAAGTATAAAAAGAACAGGCTATTTATTTAATGCATTTACTAGTTCATGGTAGCTTTAAATTCTTACTTAAGTTTAATGCATGTGCTTAATTTTTTTGTTTTTTTTCTCCCCAGAACTTAAACAAGCAAGCCTACGATTTGGCAAAGGCTTTACTAAAGAGGACAGCACAGGCAATTGAACCATACATTACTAATGTAAGTGAAGACTGCAAACAAATTTGGAAATCAATATATTTTTTAACTGAACTGTATTGTAAAAAGAATGAATTGCATATAGTCAAGTAGGGCTGTAAAATAACTTTTTACAAATTCTCAATTGTTCTTTGAGAGAATTGTATTAATGAAGCACTGCATAACATATCCCTTTGAGTCTAATTCTTTACCATACAGATACTAGTAAGCCCATAACAATTTTGACTTCTGAAATGCAATGGTTTGCTTTCTGCTGTCTTGGGAGACCTTGTACTTCAATCCTTAATGTGACTGGAAGACCAAATATACTTATTTGTATTGTTCTGATAAAAATATATAAACACATTGTTCTTGCAGATAAATTATTTTTCTAGTGAGGAGATGAAGCTATTTAGAAGCTAGGAGAGGTGAAGGTAGAGCAGAATTTTAATGCCATTGTCACAGGAAAAGAAGATGAAACAGAATCTAAGAACAGATAGCAGGGAAGAAAACCAGTGAGTGGATTGAGAGTTGTAGCCAAGTTGAGTGTAGACACTATAGGCATTGCAACAGAAGTAAAGATCAGACAGGATTATGCTCTGAATTACATTGCACAACAGAAAAAGAAATGTTACACTTTTTTTTTTAGAGAAGTTAAGGATACAGCAGGTCTCATGGCAGGTATCCAAAACCTCAAGAGCTTGAAAACAATATAAAATTTTCAATGGTTTTTTTTTTGTTGTTTTCAGACTTGTAACACTTGTGGTACTTGGAAAGTGGGTATGTTCTAAGATTTAAAAAAAAAATCTTTGGTGAAAACTCTTATTCCAAACCTGTTAGTCAAATCTGCTGTTTGGGAAGGTATTGCTACATGGGAATGTGTTTTTTAATGTTGTTCATCTGTAAGGTTAAATTACAAACTGGGTGACGTTTTGCAGGTTTTAAGGAAGGCTGTACAATAAGGATCTTCCTCCTATGGAAAATATGTACTTGCATTCTTCTGTTCTTCATTTCCCACAAGTGGGAAGTATTATACTGTCTGGTTTCTTTGTTTTGAAATTTTCTTTCTTTCTTAAAATATGTTGAAGGCAGGAGTTAGTTGCCTAACCAGGAATATATGCATTCCAGGCAGTTCTGTATCCAGAAAAAGAAAACTTTTCTGCAAGGCAATACTGAGTCTTTAACTTCTAATGAAATGTACTTACCTGCTGTTTTCTAGTCATTATTACTAGAAACTGCTGACTCTTTCTATTGTATCACTTGCTGGGATTCACTTTATAATTTTAAAAAGTAGTAATTTTCGTATTTTTAGTTTCTTTATGAATATTATTAATCTTGTCAGGTACAGAGGGTCGTGATGTTCATCTGTCCCAAGTTTGGGAATAGTTAAGTGTATTCTGTTGCCTTAGTAGCAGGTGTAAATAGTATAATTTGTTTAGCCACACTTGTGTGTGGTTTTTAACCCAAAGAGAAGAAAATTTTTCCAATTTATGTTCTTCCCCCTTATGTGTAGGGGGTGGTATTACTCCTATTTGGTTGCTTCTTACCTATCTATTACGAGAGGATACAGCTGAAGGTAGCGTGGAATTAATATTTGCTACTAGAAGATATTTTCTTTGAGAAGCGTGAAGTTTCCCTCAAATCCATCAAGTTTACCGGGGAAGAATAATTGCTTTACAGCTGCATTATGCTGCTCTTAATGCACTTTCAGTTACAACTCTTTAAACAGTTAACTGCATAGTGTAGTAATTAGCGAGTTGTTTCAGCCTTGTTTTGACTAAATGTTAGAATGCTTTTAAAGTGATTGTTCTCCATAGTGGAATAGCTCTAAATATAGTCATATTATAAAAAAGATCTGATGTACTGCTGCTCCTGTAAAGTTGTGTTTCTTAAATTATTTGCAGGCTTTCAGTGGTAAACTAAAGATCGCTTTTTATGTGTTTTCCTTTATGTGTACTATTGAATACAAAACAATGATATTTTAATATTTCTACTACAGAATCCTGATCTCTATGTGACCCCTCTTATTTTTATTTTTTTCTTCCAATTGGGGTGAAATAAATGTAAGACTAAAAGGTAGACTTAGCAGTAGACAAGCATGGGATTTAGAAGAGTGTTGTTGTTATTGATGTATACTCTGTTTTATTTTCCAGTTCTTCAATCAGGTCCTCATGCTTGGTAAAACATCAATTAGTGACCTGTCAGAGCATGTGTTTGACTTGATTCTGGAGTTATACAATATTGACAGTCACCTCTTGCTTTCTGTTCTACCACAGCTTGAATTCAAACTTAAGGTAAACACTTCTATTTTCCATGTATTTGAAACATATGTGCCTTGACTACTAATATGATTTTTTTACTGACAAGTTCATAAAATTATTTGGCATTTAAAGCTAATGCTTATCTATAAAATATATAATCTCTGTGTTGTTTCAAGGCAAACTCATAAAAGCCCTCAAAAAGAGTAACTTCAAATGTATTAACCTGCAGTGCATGTGTGCATATGTTTGAGTTTTGATTGTGTTTTGTTTTTTCTTGTATCTTTCAAACAATAACTTGATTTTTTTGGTAACTGGAGAAGCTGACCTGTTTTTTTCCTTGGTTTAGTGTTGTGAAGGGCTTTAATACTTTCAGTACCTTGTGCCACTAGCGGTACAGAGAAACTAGATCTGTTCAGTATAGTGAATTTTGGCAGGGAGAAGTTGGGCTCCTTGTTAATGGGAACTTACGTAGTGACAATTTTGTCCAAATAGAAGGACTTGACAGGTGGAAGCAGAGCATTGGACTCTGTAAATATGTCTTGTAGTCATTGCTACAATGACTTTTATGATTTTTCAGGCTTATTTCTTATGTCTGAAGGATAGCTCGTGCTAGCTATCTATTCTAATAGGTGTTTTTCTTTTTGTATTTCTGCAATTTCAGAGTGTCTTAATCACTTGGAGAAATTGAGTATAACAGCTGGTACTCCCTTTATTCTGCACTGCTTTTATTCTGTTTGTCATTCCAAAGGATTTCTGTGGAAGTGCGGAATTTGATTAGTTTTATATTACTAAGTTTGGTTTGTTACTAAACTTGAGGGGTAATGTGCAGTGGACAACTTTTAAATTTGTATGTATTTTTTTGTTATTGAGGACTGATTTTAGGTTTGTAGATTTTAGGCTTGTTCTTGTTGCAGTATTTATTATCATAATGGCTTGTCCATGCCCATTATTCACTAATGTTGCTAGGCAGGCACACTACATTTTTTGAATGAGTTGTTTTTAATGGTTCTATCTTTCCATTCAGATTTGCAAAAGAAGTAGGGTTCAACTTACTGCTTGCTGTCTGTGTCTTCAAGCAGACCTTTTTCAGCCTTTGATTTCTGTTCTTACAGATAGTGAACAATTATCATTCTCACTTTAGTAAAAACAGTATTTCTGTAGCTGAAGCTGTTATTCAAGATATTTAATCTTAACTGCTGCCACATCTTTTTTTTTCATAGCCATAATTGCAGTAACATTTCCATCTTTATGTTCATTTAAAACTGCAGGTTCTTGGATTGTGTTCCTGCTCCTTCATTGACTCTCATATTCCACTATTTCAATATGAACTTTTTTTTGAGTGTCCTATTTTACCATTGAAATCATCACATTTAGTAGCCCAACGCTGTCAACTGTTTTTTCCTGCCCCAGGAAAAACTTCTTGTCTCTTCCTTCAACAGGGTGATTTCAGCCCTAAGCATTACCATGCTTTCTTTGTACCTCTTAATTTAAAACACTTTTTTTCCCCATGTTTGCATTTCTGGTTTTGTTTAGTATATTCTTTTTAGATGATGGCCATGGCTTTTGTTTTCTCCCTGTGGTCTGAACCTTTGAGGGTAAGATGGTGCACATTTGAGGTTTGTAAGATCCAGTTTAACAATGTTTCCAATAGACTTATACATTTTGGTAGTTACATTCTTACTGCTCTTATTCATGTGTGTCTTGCTGAACTCAGTACAGTTTGTAGCTGTTCCAAATGGTTTCTGTTTGAATCATCTTGTTGCTTCAGGTGTGTGTTTTTTGATGCCTTAAGTTATCAGTGAAATTAATATATGTCTATTTTGTCCTATTGGCTGTCAAATGTAGTTTGACCCATCTTTTACAGGGGGAAAAAAAAAAAAGCAGCTTTGTTTGGAATAGGATAACCCTGGCTTTAATCCTGAGACACTGGAACAGGTTGTCCAGGGAAGTTGCAGATGTGAGGTCATTGGAGGTGTTCAAGGTCAGGTTGGACAGGACTTTGAGCAACATGGTCTCTTGAAAGATGTCCCTACCCGTGGCAAGGGAGTTGGACTAGACTATCTTCAAAGGTCCCTTCCAACCAAACCATTTTATAGTTCTAAATGAGCTGAGAGATCTGTAAGATCATTCTGTGGTTAAAAGGGTATTTTGAAGATGAATATTCTGAAATATTAATGAAATATGGTCAGCCTATGGTTTTTCTGAGATCATTCAGTGATTATTAAATACTTTCCACTCCAACAGTAGCTGTGGCTTTATTCTAAACAGCAGCAGCTAGTGTCAAGCATTTTTAATTCAAGTCCAGGTAAATAGCATGTTAGTGTGTTGAGAAGAGTGTGGTTCAATGAAACTCACAATGCTTATGGTAGAAGGCAGCTAATGTTTTGCTGCTTTGAATGAAAAGAAACTGGACAGCAGTATCCCTGTTAGCTTGACAAAGCCTTGGATCAGGTGGATGGTAAAGGAGAAAAATATACTTGGTGTGAAATATGGGAGAGGGGAGATGTCTTTTTGAATAAAGGTCAATTAAAGTTAATGATACAATAACCACTTCAATGAGCTCTGCATGTCATTCAGAGCTTGACTATCTGGTTTTGGCTTTTCTGGATTTGGTACATAGTATTGCATCTTTATCATGCCCATAGTTTAAGAGCCTGGTCTTCTGAGCTCAACTTGCTGTGGACTCTCTACTAGTGAGAATTTTGTGGATTGTATTTAGGTCAAATGCATAGTTTCACAGAGACATCCAGTTTTTGTTCTGTGAGATTGACTAATACGGATCTTGAATACACAGGTGTGACAATAGAAGTCAAATACTAAGGCCAAATACTCAAATAATGCTTATGGGGTAGTGGGACATTTACTGTGTTCCAAGATCTCATATAGCTGCTTTGCTGCTAGAGAGGTTTGTATTACTTTTAAAGCAGATGATGTTGAAGGAAAGCTGAGGCTGTCTCAACTGTTGAGTTACTAGTTTCGAGGAGTGAAGTTGTGTCAAAATGATCTCATCTTGCATACATTGAACACATGGAAGTGGACATATGATCTGTGCTTTTCAAAGATAAATTGGGTAATTGCTCTCTGTGTTTTTGAAAATATGCATTTTCTTTATAATTGACTTCAAAAGCAGTGAGTAAAAAAAATTTGGCCAGATGGAGTAGACTCATGGTAGACTTCCTCTGAGCAAGCCACCAAGTGTTCTGGCTCACTTGAAAGCTGATGCTTTAAAGAAATATTTTCAGGTACAAACTTGTCAAGTTCTGCAAGAATTTGAACAGAACCCAGTATTTTTTATCATTTCAGTGAAATTTAATTTAAAATAAATAAATCAGTTTCTTAAAGCATTTTCTTATGTTTTGCTGTAGTTTGAGACATTTTTGTCCAAGAGCTGTTCTTTTTGAATTCTTTTGACATATCTAAAAAATCTTTTTTTGCCAGTAGATAATGATAAATGTTTACTTTCACACAGATGAATTTTTTTTTTTTTTTTTTTTACTAGTCCTATCATAAAGCCTGGAAAACAGTGAAGGTCATCTCAGTAGTAGGGCACAGGACTTCAAAATAAATTGGGAAATAACAACTAGACCTCTCATATAAGGAAAGAATGATGTGTGACATGAGATTTACAAAGGCAAATATTATAGAACTTGATTACTGACAACTTGAAAAAAATTTCTTCACTTTTTTTGGGATGTCATTTGGCAACAAAGTGGAAAATTATTAGCCAAACAAGAGAAGACAGGAATTCCTGGAAGAATGGTAATATGGTTAAAGACTTTGAAGGATTGTCCTTGAGAATCTCCATCCATATGTTCTAATGGTATATGTATTTTGCTTCCTGTTACTGAGCACTTAAAGAGCTATAGTTTAGTTTGTTCATCCGTCCTTCCGTCCTTCCTTTTTTTGCTTGAGGTACATCTAGGAGACTGATGTTCTGGTCCTGGAGCCATGTGGTTACTGATGAATCTTGTTTGGCGAATGGGATGAGTCTGTTTACACTGAGGTAGCCTTTCCAGCTACAATTCCTCCACCCAAAGCAAAATGCTCGTTCACATCAATTAGTTTGTAATAACATTGCTGAGACTGTGATGTACACTACCGCCATGATGTTCTCTGGAGCAACTTGAAATACTGAGCTGAATATAAAGATATTGATACTAATGGAGAAATATTTCTGTGCTGCCTGCCTCTTTGGTTCTGTGCACACATTCCTTCTATGATTCCTCAATTTTCTTGTGTTTGGCACTGCTGGGAGTTTTTTCCCTATATGCTATCCCAAGGACAGTAGGTGCCAGAGATTTAAGTGTTCCACCAGCCATGTTGCTTGTCTTAACATCATTCATTTCTGGAGCTTAGTGGGCTGGTGCTACCACCACACAGCATTATCAGCCAGTAACATCTTTGCATGGAGTGGACAGAGTTGTTCTCTAAGTCTTTTGGTGGCAGACCATCTTTAGATAACCTGTTGGCTTTTGGACAAGGGAAGAAAGTGAGCTGAATTGTCTGGACGTGTAGATGGCTCTTCAGGAATTTTAAGGGCATGCTGCTGAACTGGTGCACATTTCTCTGGGAGAATGTGGAAGTGTGGTGCTGTTTGTAGACATGCTGGGCAGTCAGGTCTTCTGGACTCTTTCTTGAGTCTGGCTTATCTAAGTTGATGTTGTCTGGCTGTCCTATGTGACAGAGATGTAACTGTCATTTTCAGGTGCTGGTGGAGATTATCTGTATGCCATTTTGTTCCTGTACTCTGATCATTTCTACATAAGAGAGCTTTAAAAGTACGTCTCTGGTCTGGAGGAAATGGCACATTTCAGTTGCACTTAGTACTTGGAAAACAAGATCTGGTAAATCACTGGGTCAAGTTGTTGAACAAATTGTTTCTAATGCAAAGATAAAATACAGTGTATAGTGTTACAGTGGCCATCTATCATTCTGTCTCAGAGTACATGCTTCAGTAATGCTGGTGGAAATACCCCTTATTGCTTAAGAGGGTCTCTTTGCTTTGTTTTTTGAGGATGGTGTGGCTGTGGTGATGGACGACCTGGCAATCATTTAAAATTCACACAATGCTGCAGAAGCTGAATCTCAGTCCTGCTTTCTTAGAAGCTGTTGAAGTTTCAACAGTATTCCTTTGTTGGCAGTTCATATGCGCTATGTTTCCAACTACCGACCACATCGACTAATCATCTACAAAGAACTGTAACTTTGCTTAGTGGGAGGTCACGTCCAGGCTTCTCCCATGAATGTGCTTGGTTTATGGTGAATCTGTAGTCTGCCTGGGCTTGTGAGAGCTACTCGGTTCTGTCTCAGGACAGACTATAATTTGTCAAGTGGGTTCAATGTACTCCTGTTTCCTGATTGCAAGTGCTGCCGTGCTCCCTTCCATAAATTCTAGTTAGAGTGAAGAAAGGGAAAAAAAAAACCCGCAAGGTGCTCTTGATTGTTCTGGTTTTGAGGACCACCTTCTGTTCTTGGAGGATGCTGCAAGCTGTCAGTATTCTTGACTTGTTCTTTCAGGGATTTGTCACGTTTCATCCTGACCTTTGGGTACTCAGTCTCACAATATGGGTGCTGGGCCTTTCTCTGATGGTGATCCTGTTTCTCCTGGTACCAGCAACTTTGCCGCTAGTCGTATGTTCTGTACGTGAACCAGAATTTTCTTGTAGTATCTTATTTCTTTGCCTCTAAACATTTTATGTTACATTTTGAAAACAAATTAGTAGTGGTTTTCTCCACAGGTGAGCTTCACTCAGCAATCAATGTCCACTGCCTTCCATTTTATTGGGCTGCCTGTTCTCAGCCTCTGTGGCTGATAGAAGCTTGAGGACATGAACAAACAAATGTCTGTGTGTCTGGTACTCATTACCTGACAGGATCCAAATCTCTTGTTCTATGTCTCCCTGAACTTCTTTTGCACTCTTTGTGGCAGGAAACCTCTTGGTTTATCTTCATGGAATCAGGGCCTTAGGGAAGTTCCAGACTGTCTCTTTGAGTGGGGAAAATCCAACTGCTTTCCTGGCACTGACCAAATAAATTTTTGACCGTGTATGGAGGGGTTATGAAACTGTTAGTATGGAACTTGTGAGAGAGCTTAGGTGCCTCAGGAACACTGTTGTGCACATTTACTCTTTTGGATCTCAGCGATGTGGCCACCTAGTGTTGAAGCACCTTGCCGTTTTGGTACAACCAGTGACCATGCAGTTTGGTCACGATGCCAGGTAATTTTGACTTCTGTGAGAATTGTACATGCTGACTTGGATGAAGAATGAAAGGTTGCTGGCAGTAACTTGTATTCTGTGAAATGTGCAGCTTTTGTGTGCTGTACTCCCTCAGTTGCTTTTCCTGTCCTATCTACTCTAGGAATCTTTTAGGTATGTTTGAAGAAAATTGAAATGCAGTCAGATGTGTGCTGTGCCATGTCATGTACTAAACAGAAGTGGATGAACTAGTTATCCTTTTGGGTCTGGCTGGGATGGAGTTAATTTTCTTTGTAGCAGCCTGTATGGTACAGTGCTCTGTATTTATGGCTAAAACAGTGTTGATGGCACACTAATGTTTTGGCTATTGCTCAACAGTCCTTGCACAGGTAAAGGCTTTCTTCCCCCACCACAAGTAGGATGAGTCAGGCAAGAGGCTGAGAGGGGACACATGCTCAGCAATAAAAGCTCAGGGAAAGGAGGAGGAAGGGGGGGATGTTTGTGCTTGTAGTGCTTGTCTTCCCAAGCAAGTGCTATGCATGCTGAGACCATGCTTTCCGGGAACTGATGGGACCTCTGCCTGCCAATTGGAAGTAGTGAATGAATTCCTTCTTGTTTTACTTCTGCACAGAGCTTTTTCTTTACCTATTAAATTGCCATTGTGTTGATCCATGAGCCTTTTAACTTTTCTTCTATTTTCTGCCCTCCCCATCTCTGTACAGGAGAGGAGATGGGTGGGTGTCTGACTTTTTCGCCAGGATCAACCCACCACACCTTTGTAGATTTTTGTAAAGAAAAAGCTCCCATGTTCTCATGTGGCAGAAAAGGAGTATTGGGGGAGCTGTGTCAAATCATGGTTGCTTCTTACTGGTAATTATTTTTTTTTAATCTAATTTTGGAAGGGAGTATCAGGAGAACATGCACTGAAATTCATTTAACTTAACCTTTCCTGTGAGGGTCAGTCGTTTGTGCCTGATCTCGGCATTATAAGCTGATGTGTTTAGAGATCCAGCATAGACACAGAAGCATTACTGGTGCAAGAGAGAGCAGATGTAGGAATGTATTGTTGTGTAAGTCAACTTGTAAAGGATACTGCTATTCTTTCATTCAAATTTGATATTTGAATTTTAGAAGTCTGTATTACTGAAAATGAATACCATTTTAATGTTCAGAAAAGCTCATGAATAGAGTGTGTATACTAAATAACCATAATGGGGTTTAGGTCTTTAACATCCTACTAAACCAATATGATATAATGACTAAAGTAAATTAAATGTTGACTTTTATTATTGTAGAGCTACCTTTCTTCCTGGATATGGTAGTTAAAAGTTTAGTGAAGTTTCAGGTCATGTGTCCGCTTCTGCTCCCAAATCTCCCCAGATCCTCAGTGCTGCCTGTTGTTTTGGACTTGGTAGTGATAAAATCTGACCAACTTCAGCTGTTGTTAGTGACATCTAGGCAGAAGTGCAGCTGCCTCTGTGTTGGGAGCACATATGAGGAACCAAAAATGTCGGTGTTCAATGTCAATTTTCATTGACAAATCATTATTCAACACTATTAAGCATAAAGAGTGCTGGATCATACCTAAGAAAAGAAATGAAGGATGTGACTTTTCAAGTACACAGTGTCTCATAGAGGATTTTCTCAGAGTTTATGATACTCATTTTTTTTCCCATCAGAAAAAGAAGTAAAGATTAAAGTAGAATAAAGGAGAGAGACTGTAGCAGTGATGCATTCATTTAGTAAGAAGTACAGGTTTTTTTAGTAAGAAGTAACAGATTTTTATTACTGTTAGGAGCTTATATAAGAATGTTTCAAGGAGACCAACATCCGGGCACAAATTTAGAATGTACCAAATACTTTTAGTCCATAATCACAAATATTCATTGTTACCACAGACAGGACTAGATACATGAGTGGGTTGTCTTAAATTGGATTAATGACTAATACAGTGAAGGTTTCTTCTGCAACTAATTTATTAAGGATATTTTAGTTGGTTTTTTTAATGTCTCTCTTTTCTTTTTCTGTATTTCTGATTGTGTAATTAAGCAGTTGAATATTTATTGTACTCCCGATCCCTCCCTTCCTCTGTCCCTCCCCACCTTTGGAGTGTCTTGCTCTGGACCCGTGTTGGTTACCTAGAGAAATTCAGAGATGCTTAATATTTTTAATATTTTGTTGGTTTAAGCAGGAGTGGATGGGATGTGAGTAATGGAGACTGGGTTTTTGTATAGACTACAAAAAAAAAAAAAAAAGAAAGTTCTTAACCATGAGGGTACAGAATAAGAATTTGTACTATAATGGACACTTAAAACTCATGAAGAAAAAAAAAAACATTTATTGCAGTTTAGGAGGTTGTAGATGCCTTTCAGTAATGTCAATCTGAATTTTTAGTTAGAAAAATCAGTCAAATGCAGAGAAATGTATTTATGGATTTACTATTAATGTTGCTAATACTTAATATTAAAGTGTATTCTGAAGAAGTGTAGTCTTTTGTAATGTAGTAATATCTCAGTGTTAGAGATATTTTCATCCATAACTTCTCTTGCTCTGTTACTTTAAGGATTTTACAAATGCTTTTACTGTTCTTAGGGAGTTGAATTAAAAGGACATACTGGCAAACTTTTCAGCCCATTTGTGGTACCGAGGCAGGAGAAATAGTTGGTCTTAAGACTGTGGTGTCATGTTAGAGAACTCTGTCAGCCACAAAGTGCTCTTATTTCTTGTTCACATTCAAAAGGTGATGTTGAACTAATAAGAATGTCAAAGAAGGTAGAAAAGAACAGTATTTTAAACAGTCATTGTCTTTATTACGAGCAAAAAGACTGAAAAAATGAGTGAATAATATCTAGTTAATATCAGCTAGTTTTAGTTACTACCATTTCAAAGAAGTGTTATGGCCAGTTGTTCTTCTCTTTTTTTTAATAAACAAAAGAATAAAATTTGGTGAACATTAAGTACATGCTAATTGCACAAATGTTAGCACACATTTCGAAAGTATGTATTAAGCTTCAAATGCTGTGTTGTGTTAAACAAATGTAATGCAAAACAATGATAATGAAAATGTACTAGAGAAGGCCTTGCTTTATCTCTCTTAGTGCTATTTTTAAATATGAAAGAAAAATATCTGTTATAACTCAGCGTTTTTAAATATAGGCTTAAATACAGGCTTTAAAGACAGGACCAGATCCTGTGCATCTCAGATCTTGGGTACTTAATCTGCTATTCTCTAAAATCTTGTTTTCTGAGAACTTTTTTCTTTTGAACTAAATGTTTGTAATTAAACACTGTTCTAGACAACTGTAAACTTTTATGTGCGGGCAAATATAGAATGTGTTTTATGGGTTATGTGTTGTGCTTTGACCTGTGCCCGTACAAGCTTACACAAATTAGATTTCCTAACAGGACCTGTAAATGAGGGTTAAAAAGATTTATGTATCTGTGTGTTTTTCACCAGGCTTTGTTCATATTGGGTTTAGTCTCTTCCTTTTTTTCTTTTCACTGCCTTTATTATTTTGTCTTTTCCCAATAATGGTAAAGGTTATTTGTCTTGAGATATATATTTGTATACAAGTCTATTAATCTGTATTATGATATTTGTGAAGGTAAGTATATTGGTGTAAAAGCTGTACAAAACAGAACTCTGTTTTTTTGTTTGTTTGTTTTTTTGTTTTTAATTTTAAAAAATTGTGTTCATTTTCCAGAGCAATGACAATGAAGAACGCCTGCAGGTTGTAAAACTTCTAGCAAAAATGTTTGGGGCAAAGGATTCAGAGCTGGCATCTCAAAACAAGCCACTTTGGCAGTGCTACCTGGGGAGGTATATGCTGGTTTAGTTCCCTTCCTGTGAGGGGGGGAAAAGCATTCAGTGAAGGATAGTTCAACTTTTCTTTTTTTTTTTTTTTTAAAGTGACACAGCTAAGTGTGAGTTCCCTCCTGCTGTTTTATCTGTAATCTGACAGATAATGCTAAAGAGATTATTTCCCATAGATCTTCTACATGTGTGATTCTGCAGAGGGAACAATTACGAATCATCCGTTTCTAGTTCATTTTTTTGCAACTATCTTTGTTGCCATTGTCAAGAAAAAGGAATAGTTTAATTTCTTCAATTTCTTCACAAGCGAAACTGTTCAATGATGGATTAATTCTAAAACAGCATCAAGTGACATTTGCAGTATCAGGTGGTACAAGAACTGGTTTTGAGGCTTTTATATGTACAGTATTTGTATACTGATTTCATTTTTTTTTTTTAATGGTGGGAGTACCTTAAGAGAGGTATGTAGTATTTACTTTGCTGTAAACACACTTAGTCTTCTGTTTTTGAAATATTCTGCCAGTTTGAGGTAGAAAGTACACCTGGAGCTTGTAGTCAGGAGAAAGTTAAGTGTGGCTACTAAGAGGAAGACATTTTTGATTTGCGTAAATGAGGATAAATTGTATAAATTATTATAAATGCAGTAGTTTATAATTTAGCATCCGATCATATCAAAGCCAGAGTCCTCAAAGAAATGTTACTTTTAAAAGTACAGGAAACTTAATTAAGGTAAGGCCTTTTGTTTGAAAGTATGTAACTATTTAAAACGTTGCATGTCTCAAAAAATACCAGATCTAATTGGGCCCAAAGGAAAATGTTTCATAGTGTTATAATGTGAAGCAGTGTGAATACGTGCAGTCTGTTGTTCATATTGCTGTTTTCAACTAGTTATGGACCACATACATCTATTTCCTTTTTTCAAGGGTTTTAACTAAGCTATAATAGCTGTGTTAAAGGAACCATTCTTAAAATCTCTTGAGTTTGAAAACATACCTGTTTTTTCCTAAAACAGTTATTCCTTAAAGACTCTTTATTTGATAAATAAGCATTTTGGCAGCAAGAACATTCAAAAATTTTGATTTTTGTTTAAAACAAAAAAGTTTGTGGATAGCTTGAAAATGCATTTATTTTTTTCAAAAGTGTTGTATGTAACTCTCATTACATCCATAGTTTTATTATAAAATTACTTCTATAAAAATTAAACACGAGAAAGTACTAGTTTTGAAGCATCAAACCTAATTCAGTCTTTCGAAAGGAAATCTTACAGAAGTTGAAGTGACCATCAGAAGGAATTTGTACTAGGCTAGATGCTCATTTGTTTGCAGTTTATCATGCAGTTTAAAGAGGGGACAAATATTGCAGTCTTAAAAAACTTTTAGTTGCTGATACATAGTTCATGGATAATTATGTGGAGCATTACAGAAAAGATGCTTAAAATATGTCAGAGATCTTTCTAATAAATAGTTGTCAGCCTGGGAGGTTTTCATGTGTACCATGAGAAGGTATTTCTCTTCATGTTCTGAGAACGAATTAGTAAATGAGTATGGGAATTTTTTCTTAAGCTAAAGACAGTCTACTTAAAACATGTCTGATTTCACAGTATTATGCATGTAACTGTGCATGGGAAGCATAAAAATATATTCTGAGGTATTTGAGATTGTGTAGAGATAAACTAATTGCTTTGGTAGAAGTGATATTTTTGTTGTTGTTGTAATGCATTGTCTTGTTTCTAAATAGGTTTAATGATATCCATGTACCTATTCGTCTTGAATGTGTGAAATTTGCAAGTCACTGCCTTATGAACCATCCTGACCTAGCAAAAGACTTAACAGGTACTAGATCTATTGTAACATTAAAATACAATTTTAAGTCTTCTATAAAAGTCAGGAAGGTTAGTTGTAATCCTAAGTAACATTGTCAGATATTGTTTAGGATGTAACTGAGGCTGGAATTACAAGTCACAGAGTCTCTGCCTTCAGTGCTGCTTGTCAGGCTGAGGGGATTGTACATAAATTGTACATTGGTTGATTGTACATTGGTTAATGAGAAGCTCAACATGAGCTGGCAGTGTGCACTTGCAGCCCAGAAAGCCAGCTGTGTCCTGGGCTGCATCAAAAGAAGCATTAGCAGCAGGTCGAAGGAGGTGATTCTCCCCCTCTGCTCTGCTCTCGTGAGACCCCACCTGGAGTACTGTGTTCAGATATGAGGCCCCCAATATAAAAAAAGACCTGGACCTGTTGGAGAGAGTCCAGAGGAGGTCCATGAAGATGATCAGAGGGCTGGAGCACCTCCCCTATGAGGAGAGGCTGAGAGAGTTGGGGTTGTTCAACCTGGAGAGAAGAAGGCTCCGAGGAGACCTAACAGCAGCCTTCCAGTACCTGAAGGGGGCCTACAGGAGAGATGGGGAGGCACTCTTTATTAGGGCGTGTAGTGATAGGACAAGGGGTGTAATGGGTATAAGCTGAAACAGGGTAAATTTAGACTAGACATTGGAAAGAAGTTTCTCACTGTTGAGGGTGGTGAGGCACTGGAACAGGTTGCCCAGGGAAGCTGTAGATGCCCCATCCCTGGAGGTGTTCAAGGCCAGGCTGGATGAGGCTTTGAGCAATCTGGTCTAGTGGAGGGTGTCCCTGCCCATGGCAGGGGGGTTGGAACTAGATGATCTCTACGGTCCTTTCCAACCCAAACCATTCTATGATTCTATGATAAAGAATACGTTAAACAAAGAGATCACTCTCCTTCTCTTACAGTAGTTGAGTTCCCAACTCCTGTTGAAATTAAGCTCCATGAGATCAGGGAAAACCCGGGCTAGCCTAATGGTCATGGCAGAGTGGAGGCTTCAGTTCCACAAGGCTGAAATGTGTAAATATTATGCAGCCACTGTCTAAAATGTGAAAACAGTCATTGTAACTCTGACCATAGCTGTGGGTTCCTGCTCCTGCAAAGCCTGTTCCTACAAGCCTGTAATTCAAGACCTCTATAGGAAGAAGGCAACAGGCACAGATAGAAGTGTTTAGTATTTGTTACTTCTGATGTCTTAATGAAAAAAGTGTAATTAAAGAGAATAGGTTGGTTGTCTTTTTTTTTTTTTTCCCCCACCCACAAAGTGTATGTGGAAACTGTATCGCCTGATCAGTAAACTCCTACTTCTTGTAGTTCTTTGGAGATAATATCTTTTCCATTTGCTCTAAGGAGGGAATTTAAAGGGCTGTTAAGTGCATGGTATTGCCCTCCTGCTTGCTGAGCGTTGGTCAAGTTAGACAGAAGTACAGCAGGCTAGAGTCATCCCGTAGTTGTTGGTATTGTTAAGCCAGCTTAAAAAAAAAAACAAACCCAACCTAAAAATATTTCTGGACCTTTTCTTAATGGAATGGTAATGATGTTTCCTCTGATTATCAGAATTGTATTTCCAAGGGTGTTTTTTGGTTTTTGTTTTTTGTTTTTTTTCTTTTTTTTACATTGCAGAAAGACTTTGTGCCCCCTCTAATGGTATCCTCTGGGAAATGTAATTTTGCTTGCCCCTTCTCTCTGTCCCCACAGCACATATTGAAGTCAAGTTGTTGAAAATTTCTCTGACTCACTGGTATTTGAAACCAGAATTGTTTTGTGCAATAGCATTTTTCATCATTTGTTTTAGTTTATTATGTTTTCCTGTGGAACAAAGCTGATTTTTTAGAAAGTCTTATTTGGATTTCAAATTTCTTAACCTCCATAAATGCAAAGCTTTTATTTCTTGATGTGCTCTTTCAACACTTGTGCTGATTACCGAAACCGTTAGTGGCCAATATTTCTGAGACTTGAAAATTTTCACTGGTCATTAAATGGTAATAAGAGAACAGTACCTTCTGGTTATTTCCTTCAGAGTAAACTTTGAATTTTCAATGTTTCATAATGTTCTCAATGTTTCACTCCTGTATGCTCTGTACAGTGATCTTAGTGACTTTTGTGTGTATTTTCCTACCCATTTGTGCTTCTAAATTAACCTAAAATATATATGTCTAAAAAGATGAAATGGCAAAGTTCATTTATTCTTTATCAGCTTTCTAAAATGACAAGAGGTAGCTAACATGTTTGACATGCGGAAAACTTAGTGTTGATAGTGTTGATATTACCAATTAAGTGGCAGTTGGCCAAAATATTCTAGAAAAATTGTTTTAAGTTGAATAAACTAGGATGTTTCTAAAAAAGCATTACAGCTTGGTCAAAGAGCATGCTTTTGAAGTATGTCTCTTGATTTGTCCCTGCTGACAATGCTTGCATAGCTTACTCTGTAGAGTGTTCCTGGACCATGAGAACTAGGTTCCTTGTGGATAATAAAGACGTTGTGATCAGGAGTGCAACTAATGTGCTCCAGCAGCCAAAGGGGATGGAGTCTGCAGAAGGAGAGCTGTCTCTGTTCTGAAGTAAGACTTTAAAATTTCTATAGTGTAGATATCAAGTTCTCAGCACTATCTGTTCTGCTCTGCAGATCCAGTTCTGTTGGGCTGTAGTAGTTCCTAATGTAGAGATAGCCTAACTATTTTAAGAAATGATAAAAATAAAAATGTAACCCCATAACTCTTATTTCCATAAATATTTTATGTTCTAAGCAAATACAAAGTTTTACTGATATTCCAGTTAATCTTAGAGAAATCTATTGGTTTCTTACTGTTGATGCTCAGAACAGTAGAATATCATGTTTTCTGCGTTTGTCAGTTGAGTACTGGTCTAGAGAAAGAAAAGTAGCTGAAGTTGTATACTTACAATGAACTACTTATTCTCTTTTTTCCAGAATATCTTAAAGTAAGGTCACATGATCCTGAAGAGGCCATAAGGCATGATGTTATAGTATCCATAGTTACTGCTGCTAAAAAAGATCTTTTGCTTGTCAATGATCACCTGCTTAATTTTGTCAGAGAACGAACACTCGACAAGCGGGTAAGACATAATTAGTATTAATAATGGCTGTGCATTACATTTCTAGACTGTAATTCAGCTTTTAAAAAGCAACCCTTCTAAAAAAATGCTGAACTAGTTTAAAAATTACTAATGAAAACCAGTATCATGCAAAAAATGTTGAAGCAGTCTATTTAATTGAGATATCTTTTGCCCCGCACTAGAATGCCACTTTTTTCATTGTGCTGTATTTTTTTTAAGATAGTGTGATCAAAAAGAAATACATACTGAAGCACAACAATGTTGTTCCACTTCTCTACTTTTAGTAAAATTTTTAAGTAAAATAAGACCCTTTTAAAACATTCGTACATTTTTTGTAAGACATTTTGCAAGCAGGTTTCGGAATGTATTGTAGAATACTGAGGAAAAATGTTCCACCATCAGACGTAGCTTGTTAGCCTGCTTTTAATTACATCATTGGAAGACTACAGATCAGTGTATTAGCTTTCAAATTTGAGTAGTCTTGAAATTTAGTTTAGCTGTGTTTCATTATTTGGTAAAATTTATGAGGTTTGCTGCATATGTTAAAAAACAAGACCGTTGATGGCAAACTTTTAACATTATCACCTGATTTTTTTTTTTAATTTGGTGACAAGGTTTCCCTTGTACCTGTAATACAATTGCAAGTGTTCAGTATATATCTGTGAGAAAGGGTGTAGGCTTAAATTAGTAACAATTCTAAATTCAAGAGGCATACTTCATGGTAGTTACCAAGGTTGAAGGGTTTAGCATAATATGTATGATTTTATATATGTCCTAATGAGAAAGTGTTGCACTTAGAATTCAATTTAACTTTTTTGGAAATTAAGCTATTTTAGTTTGGTGTAGACTAGGAATTATGTACGAGGAACTTTTGCAGTCTCTTCAGTTTTGAATTTTGAACTACTAAGCTGGATACTATTTCTTTTCTCAGTGGAGAGTGAGGAAGGAAGCGATGATGGGTCTTGCACAGATATACAAGAAATATTCATTACAATCAGAAGCAGGAAAAGAAGCTGCAAAACAGATATCATGGATCAAAGATAAACTTCTGCATATATATTATCAAAACAGTATTGATGACCGGTAAGTCAGCTGTGAAAGCTAGGTGATTCCTTGGATAAATGTGGTAACTTACTACACAGATTTATTTTTCCTTTGTGCTTAAGTGCTGACAAGAAGGAGGAGACTTGGTAATTCCATATGTTTTGATCCAGTGCATAATATTATACAGCTGCAGCCAAATGTTGTCTTGTGTTGTTCTTGTCTACCTTTTTTTTTTTTAAGGCCAAAAATGATACTAAAGGATGGGATAGGCTGGAGTATTTTAAAATTTTCAGCTGTACTTCACCACTGCTTCAGTAAAGGAGATTTTTGTTTGTATTTCAGTAGCTTGCAAATTCTTACGTTAAAATTCAGTAAGTAAAATTGCTTTAACATACATACTTTAGATTTGCACGTTGTTCCTGTATGCTTTAAAGATAAAAGTAGCACATGTAGTGACAACGGTTAAGGCATCTCACTCTGCAGAAGGTTAACTTTTCTGTATGATAATAGCCATGAATTAATGCCTTGTCCTGGATTTGTGGTGAAAGCAGTGCCTCTGTCATACCAGCTGTAGCCTTGTATATGGTTGTTGGTATTGAAAAATAGGTGGTTGCACATGGGGAACTAGTTTGGGAACTATTCCGCCTTGACTAATTGAGGCTGTCTTGGTGGCTTTAGAATAGAACCTTTGGCCTTTGCAGCATGATCACATACAGATACAAATGGCATTGCAAACCCATGCAAATGATTTTCAAAAACTTATGACCTTAGTTGTCTCCAAAATAAGAAATTATTTCATGGTACCATAGAAGTTGACAGAACTGTCTGGATTTTCAGATCCGATCTTGCCCACTCATGTTTTTTTTAACTTTGGGATCTTTTTAAACTATCTGGATTTGGATTTTGACCACCCTTTTCAATTGCGTGTAAGGATTTTCTTCTCATTTCTAGCCTAAACAGACATGATTTTTTTTTTACCCATTTACTGCATTCTGTTACATTTATGTTAATTTGCAACAGTCTTGGGCCTCTTGGTATTTAGGATTGCAACATGAGTTTAGTTTTCCTTTTGTTTTTTCTTCTCAGTCTTTCCTGAGTTAGTGGCAGACCCAAACCTTTCTGTCCTCCTTTTTCCAAATGAGAAACTTCCATATTATAGTGGAAACTTTGAATAATTTCCTTGTGAATATATGTGCATTTTTATTGTGGAAGCAAAAGAAATGAGATAAACTCAGGCCTTAAGAAAGGGGCCGGGGAGGGCTAGAGGGAAGTCAGCTCCTTCTGACTAGTATCTGAATTCTTATTCTGGGCTTGGTGATAACATGTGATGTAATCGATGTGATTTTTTTTTTTATTTTATTTTATTTTCGGCCCATTAATTTACCCCAATACTGACCTGTAATGAAATTCACTAATAACCTCTCTTTGGGCTGAGACATCCTTAAGAGGCATCCTTCTCTAAAATCCTTTGGTTCTTATCTAGATTAATACATCTGATTTTGATAATGTCTTCTCTTAAATGTCCTGCTGCTAACATGAACATTTTGTCTTGTGTAATGGTATGTTTTTTGTTTAGTTTACGCTGACTTTTATTGGAAGTTAAGTTTCATGACCTTTAGGTTTTTGAATAAACCCATCTTTATATGCAACAACTGATCTCTAGAAAGGTCTGAGAATTTTCAAATGAATGTTTTAGCAATTCAAGCTGTCTTGCTTTACAGTTTAAGTTTCTTAATCCTGTCTTTCAGATTACTTGTTGAACGCATCTTTGCTCAGTACATGGTCCCTCACAATTTGGAAACAAATGAACGAATGAAATGTTTATATTACCTTTATGCAACACTGGATTCAAATGCTGTGAAGTATGTGCTATTTTTTACTACTTGCAAAATAGTTTTTAATACAATTATTATTATAAATTAGTTCTACATTGTTATGAGTAGTCTAAGCCAGTGGACAAAAGTAGTTTACAAACTATCAGAAAACAGAATGTAGCAACAATATTGATTTTTTCAAGTGGGATTTTTGGGAGAAAAAAACCCAACAAACCAAACCCAAACCTCATAGTGTTTTCTGACAAGGTACCTTTTAACCACAAGCAGCTAAAAAAAAAGTACTGTCAAAGATCTGTCAAGAAGCTTGAGTGCATGTCAGTCCTTTTATGTCTGAAGAGAGATTGCGTAGATAGTAGTGTTGACTAGCCCTGGATCTTAGCTGGCAACTTCTCAATTAATATACTCCCTATTTTAGCAGCCAGGATGACTCAAGAGTGGGAAGGAATTACTTGTTTGTCTTTCCTCCTTCAACATGTGTTTTACTTATAGTTATGTGCCTTTTCCAGCTTAAAATGGGTACATGCGCATGAATTTAACTAAGAGTTTTGCTGCTGTAATATTCACAGTTTGACTGAATTTAGTTTTTTCATTTAGTAGTACTCAGTCACTTGTGAATTGAATATATTTTGTTCTCGTGTGAGACTAGAAAAAGCTTTGTTTGTCAAAGAATGACTTAAAATAAACCCCCATGCCTTCAAATGCTACACAAACTGATGTTTGAATCCCCTGCATTTCTTGTAATACCTGCCTAAAGATATTACAACTGTAACAAACTAAAATTAAGAATGGTATATTAAAAAAACAAAAGTTACTGTTTTAGTAATTTTTAGTATAGGCTAAACAAGAATGCAGAATGGCTTCTTTTCAGTACTTGTTATTTCAGGCAACAAATAACTTCTGAATTCTACTTTTCATATCCAGTGGTACTCATTCTAAAGACATAGTGTCTTCAGTTTGTCATATAGAACTGACCTTTACTTGTGGATTCTGGAAGTTTTTTAAATTAAGTTGTGACTTTTTTTTTTTTTCCCCATATGTCTTGTTTTTCCTGGAGAGTGTGCTAATTTTCAATTTTGTCGAGTATCTCTAATACATCTCTTACAAGTTTAATCATGTCCACTTTCACGGTTTATTCATCTAGTAACTGCTTTCTGTGTGCAAGAAAAACATTGTTTTGATGATAAAAATCTTAAACATCTGCTTTAACCTGCTTCTTGGAATGTTTTTAGAGAGTGATTTCAGACTTTTACAAATGAGTTCTTTATGGGCCAGACCAGTTACTTCCGACTTCTTTTGAAGGCAGTGTAGTTAAGCATCTGAAATGAAACTTTCTTCAAAATCTCACCTTGTTCCAGTCTAATATGACCAATTAAATTTTCTGTATCATGCCATTAGGAACCATTTAGCCTTTTCTCACACAGCAATAAAATTTCAGGTGATGAGCACATTCCTGAGTCTCAAGTTGAAAAGAATTTAAAGGCTCTTTTTGGACAGCTGTGTTATTTATTGATTAGATGACTTTGAAAACTTTTTTTTTATTTTCTAGAGCGTTGAATGAAATGTGGAAATGTCAAAATCTGCTACGACATCAAGTAAAGGATTTAGTTGACCTAATAAAACAGCCCAAAGTGAGTTCAATTTATCTTTATCCCACAGTGAATATGCATTGTCACTTAAAAGAAACTGTTTTTTAATTCCATGTGTTTGACTGTCTTAAGCTTATTTTTAATGACAGATAATATTGTGAAAGTTAACTGATATTCCATTAGGCTACACTTGTTGTAAGGAATGTGTATACATTTTGTCAGTGGAAGTGAAATTTTTAAAACTTTTTCCAATCACTTGATACTAAAATGTTTGCTCACAGTGTTTGAGTTACATCTTGCCAGGATTGTTCTGGCTCTTGAAAGAGGGGAAAACCAGCATATTATTTTTGACTGCCAAATTGAGTAATTAAGTAGTAGTACCTATACACCCTAACTTCTTATCTTATATATGATTAGTTACATTCCAGAAATTGGAGTATTTTTATCCCAACAGATTACTTGTTTCTCTTCCCTCTTGGAAACTTCTTAAATGTTGTATCGGAGATACTAGCCTACAGTGGAATTATTTGTTTATAGATTTGCTCAGAAAGAAAAAAAAAACACGTATGAGCATTTTGGATATTCTCATGAAGTAAAATTTAGATTTGTTTTGGTTATATGTATCCACATACTCATGTTTTTAGGGAGAAAAAATCATAAGATGAAATTCTGGATTAATTTGGAATGTGATTAGAACTCCACTTGAATGACAGCAAGTTTAATCTGGTGCTTTTTAAACAGAAATAATGTATAGTAGGAAGTGCTGCCCTGCTCACATTCGTGTATGTGTGTGTGATTTTTATTTTCTATATATGCATATACTAATTTATTACAATTAATTTAATGAGGTTTTCTGACTGAATTATCCATTTACTGATGGATTATCTGAACAAGAAGGAATGGGTAACTGCATTTTTTACAAGTGTGGTTGGATTATCTAATGTACCTGCTTGGAAATTCTACTGTCTTGCAGACAGCAAAATACTTGTCAAATGAAAGTGCATCCCTTACTGTTTCAGTCCTGATTGCAGTGAAATTCATAATTTTGATTTAGTGCATTTAAAACATGTTGTAATGTTGTATTAAATTCTAAGTGGAGTAGTTGCTAGTACAATAATACTTTGTTGTGTTTCGCAGACTGTATTGAAATATTTTTCATATTGAGAAGTAAAAACCAACAAATAAACACTTAGAGAAATGGCTTTCGGCTCCCCTTCGGATGCCTCTTCTCCCTGCTTCATGGTCTCCAGGCCCCTCACTGCGAGCTATGCTCAGTCCCTTCAGTGGGGCAATGGCAGCGCAGGGGATGGGGATCAGGATGTGGTGGTTTCTTTCCTTTTGCTGTTCCTTGTTTCTTACCCACTGCTCTAACGTGGGTTCCTCCACTGGCTGCAGTCCCTTCAGAGTTGTAGTTTCATCCATGCCTCCTCTCCACGCCTGCTCCAGCAGCTCTTACCCAGGGCATCTCTCCTGCCTCTGCTGGGGTGTCTCTTCTCTTCCTTTGGCATCTCTCTCCTCTCCTGCTCTGCTGTCCTTCCTGCCCTGGCATCTCTCTTGTTGCCCCTAGCGGCTACCACCCTTTCTTAAATATGTTTTCTCAACGGCACCATAGGCTCCTCTGACTGGTTGAAGTTTTGGCAGGTCATGGCTTGGTTTGTTGGTTGCGGAGCTGGCTAGAGGTGGCTTTGACTGGCACAGGGCAGTCCCTAACCTCCTCCTGCACAGGTCACCCCAGTAGCCCTTTACCCAAACCCTGCCCCTTACGCCCAGTGCAGATACTTAGTTGTTTTTACCAATACTCCAGTCCAAGACAGTGGTGATCTTGAGACAAATGTCCACTAGTCATTCAGAGCTGTAGAAACTTTTGTTTTCTTTCAGGAAACAAAACTGAAATGAACTAGTACCCTTTCAGAGTACAGCTGGCTGTTACCGTATGTGCTTTTTCACTTCGGTTAAATTTCTCTAGTTAGTCATGATAGCTTAGTTGTTGATTTGTCTCCTGTAGGTTTTGTCTCTGGGGCAAGTGTAGGTATTATGAGAGCTCTCAGAGATGAAGAGGGATAGGACAAGAAGCAGTGTACCGAAGTTGCCACAAGGAAACTTTGATTAGTTAGTAAGGAAACAAAATTGCAGTAAGGGTGATCAAATATGGAAGCACATAGCCCATAGAGGCTGTGAAATCTTCATCCTTGTAAATATTTAAAATGCAACTAAATGAGGCCTGGAGCAAAACTTGGTCTAAGTTGACCGTGTGTTGAGTAGGTGGCTCAACCAGGTGACCTACAGTTGCTGCTTCCAGCCTACATTATTCTGTGATGATAGATCTTGGAAGTTGTCAGTCCACTGTTCTCATCTTAGAAAACCTTTCTGCCATTTAGTGAAAGTCTTCAGGCTTTCTCCTTTTTTTTCCTCTTCAGGCTTTCCCCCCTGTAAGCACTATTGAGGAGACTGAAAATGTATTAAGAAACTTTCAATTTCTATTCGTCATCATTTCTTCTAATCTGAGAGAGAATGGATATCAAACTCGCATTTAAGTTGAGTTACTTTTCTGAGGAGCAGAAACATAAATCACAGCTCCTCTTGTTTTCTCTTAGAGAGATGGTATGCAGTTAAAATGCATAAACTTGCTTGTTCACATGTGGAAAAGTGAGTGAATGCTGGTCTGTGCGTATTAGAGTATAAGCTTCATTTGCTGCAGATAGGCAGCTGTTGTGATGCTTCCATATCATGAATGCAACGTAATGTAAAGTGCTACAATAGATTTTCTAAAACCAAATGTATCTTGATCTTCTTCAACCTGTCATTATTCAGTAAAGTTATAATAGTAGAAGTTAAAAGAATAATTCTGAGCCCAGGTTATTTCATGGTTGAATTATTAGTAGTTTGCTCAACTTAAGAGCTGTTTTAATAGGAGCTTCAGCCAGTACGTGAAGACTTAGCCACAATTAGAAGACCAAACCAGTCAGAACCAAAGAAACTCCATGGTACGGTTTTGGTATTTTTCTTCTGAGTTGCAAGACATGTGAATTCTATATCTGTTGACATCATTGTTTGAATCCTGTAAGCCAGATTTGATTTGTGTTTTTGTTTGTTTCTTGTCTGAATATGCCTGTTCAGCTGTAACAACCAAAAGCCTCGAAAGTTAGAGCATTCTTCTGACACTAAAAAGTGACAGAAAGTTCTGCGGAAATACGTAGTGGCTAAAGTTATGCATCAAGTGTACAAGTCACAAGATAGAGAGGATTTTCATTAAAAACAAATACTTTGATCTTTTTGAGGTTGCCACTATTCTAAAACATTGCCAGATTTTCCATGAATTTGCTAATTAATTTTCGCTAATTAATTTCCTTTTTGTATTCTTCCGTGACAAAAAAACCTGTGCAAATATGTTAGAACTCAAAACCCTATTTTCTTTCATAGTACCTAGTCAAGTGCAGAAGAGAAATTTACTCTGAAAAGTTTGAAGGATACTCCTCCTGGAAATAGACACTTCCATGTGTTAACCAAGGTTATTGTAATTATAATTTAGTTATCTGCAAAGCTGATATCATAGAATCATAGAATGGTCTGGG